AAGTGAAGAATTCAGGTATCTTGAACATGATAGCAATCTTCAAGTTTAAGGTGAAGGAATTAAGACTTGTTCTGTTTGACCCCTAAAGGAAGAACTGGGACCAGTGGGTGAAGTTGCAAAGAGGCAAATTCAGGCTTGATATGAGGAAAAACTTCCTAACAATTAGAATTTCCAAAAGTCAACTGGGATGCTTTGGAGGATGATGGGCTCTCCATCCCACCTCACTCCTATTTTGCCCCTCAATTTAAGGTATTCAATGACAATTTATCAGTTATTTTGTAGAGAGCATTCTTGTTCAGGTTAGATTAGATGACTTCTGAGTTCTCTTCAAATTCTAAAGCTCTGTGATTGATAACACCCAAGCCTAGGGACACAATAAATATTATTTTAAAATGCATTTTATGATGTAATCAATAATATGATGTTCCACTGACCAGAAGTCAAGTATATGTTCTATATAGAATAGATTTTTTTTAATCCTCCAATTCTAACTTGTGATATTTAGAATGCAGTAGGACCTATTTTATATAATAGATCTGTTCCTGCAAAATTTAATACAGTGTTACAAATTAGATTTTATTTTCCAATAGATTTTTAAATGACTTCAAAAATGCTTTATCTTCATTTCTGATTTGCTTTAAGTTCAAAGTGACTAATACCATTGTTTCTCTGCTTTACCTCTCAAGTAAATTTTATTTAAGTATAGCAAATTCTTTTTACTTTTCAAATTTTAATTTTTAAGACAGATTTAACGAATCATTTTACAATATAAATACTTATTATCTCCCTGTTTTATAAGTTCATATTCCTACATAGAAAATATTTTGAGGAAAATAATATAAAATAATATTATCTATTTGGAGTGAAAAAAAGCTATATGACTGCATCATATAGCTTGCAGAATCAACCTGATTATGAAAATATAATGGGTTCTATTTTTTACAGTGCCTATAGAACTCCCTCAGAATAATGTACTTGGGGAGGTTTAATTACTTATATCAGAAGTCAAATCACTATCATCAATGATTAATCAAAAGGCCACCCCTTGGTGCCAGACATTCTCAGGAATTGAGGAATTCTGGGGGAATTTGGCTCCTAAGGAAAGCAACTGCATGAATTGTTTATGCTTCTTGATTTCTCTCATTCTGTATAGACTGGTTTATTCTGAACTTCAAAATTCTGAACTCTGCTTAAGGGATTTCCCAGCTCTTTAAAGTTGGGCAATCAAATTTTCTGGCAAGGACAAAGCCACATGGATGTGGAGAAATGACAGACACGTGTATAGTATGCATCCAAGATGATACCGAACATCAGCTATAACTGAAGAATAGGTAGTTCAAGATGATAAATATAGTCAGTCCTCAACTTTCATGGGGATAACATTCTAGAAAATGAACTTAAATACTGATAACATTGAACCTATTTGAAATAGGGGGTTAGGTTACTATGACCACCAAAAACTATCTTTTGCTAGAGATTGCTGAAAATATACTTTTTCTGCATATAATTCTTTATAATGAAATAGTAATTCTGATAATACGCACTTTTCCTAACATAGTAACCATGAAGTAGTCCATAAAATACATCACACAAAATAAAATTGGTAACATGCAAAACATTTTTTCCTCTTCAGTAATTCTCTAGAATTCTGTAAACTTTTTGTGCTAATATCTTAATTTAAAAAACAAAACCACTGATTCCAGACAATACTATATTAATATAAACCTCTCTACCTTGGCTGCCCTCTGAAAACAAGGGGAGAAATTGCTGGGACTTTAGTTGCTGCTGTCTGAAGACTCCAAAACCGGCAGGGTCTCCACATCACCCCCAACATACAATGGTATGGTAAACAAAATGAGTGAAGCACCTAGGATACCAGATGCTCCATAAACTTGGACACATTGGCCTTTTCATTTTTTTCTCTACTGCACATAGCTGGGAATGTGCCCGGGTGTCAACATGAAAGTGAAAATGAGATTACTAATAAAATCATGAGAATGATGGAAGTCGGGAAAGTTAAATGCATGAATGTTGAGCATTGTATCTCAATGTCTGACTCTTACACCACTGGGAGCACCATAGGGAATTGAGGCCGACTGAGCGCCTTTATTATCTTATTCCCTGAAAAAGGAACTTGTATTGAGTCTTCTCTAACCATATTGGAGCACCAATTTATTTTTTTATTTTTCCTTTCTGGGTCTCCATCCTTCTCATCCATTTTTACCTGTAAGTACCTTCTGACAACCATTTTTTGTCATTAGTAATTATTAATTAACTTAAAAGTCCTTTCCACAGTACTTTGAGATAGGGAGAAAATATACCAATCAAGGTAGGCACCTTCTCTGCAACTTATAGCTTCACAGAGATATCTAGATTGCCCTGGGAGATCAAGTAAATTGTACCAGGTAACATGGCCATTATATTTCAGAGGCAGCACTAGAATACCGGTCTTTGGCTGTGAAACCAGCTCACTATCTACTATCCCATATATAAACAGAATAGATATAAATGCATATGCAGTACTAGACAGACGGCTAATTGTATAAATAATGTGACCACAAATGCTGTCTCCAAAATATGATGGCATCAATTGGGGGCGGGGAAGCTTTTAGATTTCAAGTATTAAAAAAATCACTTTCAAAAATATTCTTTTAGTGAATCCTGGAAAATGTTTACAAAACTTTTGAGGAATAATATGAGTGCTTTTTTTTTAAATAATAAGATTATTTATTTATTTTTAGTTTTCAACATTCACTTATATAAGATTTTGAGTTCCAAATTTTCTCCCTATCTCTCCCCTCCCCTCACACCAAGACAGCATGTAAACTGATAGAGGCTCAACATATATATTCATATTAAACCTATTTTCACATTAGTCTTCTTGTAAAGAAGAATTAGAACCAATGGGAGAAACCATGAGAAAGCAGAAACAAAAAAAAGAAAGAGCAAATAATATGCTTTGATCTGCATTCAGACTCCATAGTTCTTTTTCTGGATGTAGACAGCATTTTTCATCATCAGTCTTTTGGAGCTGTCTTAGACCCTTGCATTGCTAAGAAGAGATATGTCTATCAACGTTAGTCATCACACAATGTGGCTGTTACTGTGTACAGTGTTTTCCTGGTTCTGCTCATTTCACTCAGCATCAGTTCATGTAAGTCTTTCCAGGTTTTTTGGAAGTCCACCTGCTCATCATTTCTTATAGTATTCCATTACATTCATATACTACAACTTGCTCAGTCATTCCCCAGTTGATGGGCATCCCCCCAATTTCCAGTTCTTTGCCACACCACAAAAAGAACTGCTATAAATATTTTTGTACACATGGGTCCTTTTCCCATTTGTATAATCTCTTTGGGATACAGACCTATAAGTGGTATTGCTAGGTCACAGGGTTTGAACAGTTTTATAGCCCTTAGGGTGTAGTTCCAAATTGCTCTCCAGAATGGTTGGATCAGTTCACAACTCTACCAGCAGTGCATTAGTGTTCCAATTTTCCCAATCTTCTCCAGCATTCTTCATTGTCCTGTTTTGTCATGTTGGCCAATATGATAGGTGTGATGTGGTACCTATCTGTGCTATTTTTAAAGCTCTATTTGGACACTTCTCTACATAAATCTCTAGTCCTTTAAAGAATGTTGCTGTCTTCTTTTCTATTCATTAAATGCAAAGCTATCCCTTTTGAACTTTGTGCATTCTGCCTGAATCCTGGTTGATCCAGGGAATAGCTCTGAATTATAAAGGTTATGATCTGACCACTGGTTACCTTTCTTTCTAACTATTGTGAGAAATAATTTGTTATATGGATTTAGGTACCTCATTATTCATATCACTTGGTATGAGGAACTAAAATATTTTTAAGTGAATACATGAATTAACATCCACCCCAATGGCTTCTAAAGACCAAGACTGCCAATGTACCAATGCTTAGTAAACTACCATGTACACAGTACAAAGTAAATTATTGGTGACAGTGATGTTCTATCGCTACAGAGTCATTATAGTATTCTATCAGGATAGAATAAAATAGGCCAGAATTTTACTGTGATGCTTAGGCTTGGCTATATAATACAGTAAGAATGAATTAATACAGCACAAATGAATGAGATTTAAAAACTAGAACTATGAAGAAAATCATATTTTATTAACTGATGAAAATTTTTTTAAAACGACCTTTGACCCTCTTCTATAAGTATACTGAAAATGATGAAAACATCTTTTAGCATCTGAGAATGTAATCAAAGCAGTTATCAATTTGGGCAAAGTTTATTTGATCAGTAATCTCTCACAGTTTTGCATTAACCCTCTCTGAAACTTCTAGAATCCAGTTTTGCCAGAAAACACACTTTTTGTTTGTTTGAAATCAAAAGATTAACATGAACTACTTTTCTTGAACAGCAGCTCACCTGTTGCAGGCCAATAGGTAGGTGCTTTGAGAAAATGTTGACAGCATTCCTTGCCTGATGGCTAACAAATATGCTCTAATATTTTAGGTGCTAGATCGATGGACAACCTAAGTCTTCAATTTATAGGGTATTTGTTCTCTTGACCAGAGTTAGGGTTGGTCATATTGCTAACTCTCTAACAGACCCCGCTGCCTGGAGAAAAGGTCGCGCATCTTTTCACTTCTTCGGGGGTGGTGACTGTGAGGGGAAGTGCTACAATTCTGACATTGCCCTATCTTCTCTTCCCCGCCCCCCACAATTAACCTTAACGGAAAAGGGGAAAGGCCAAGCTGATGGACTGCCCGTTTCCTCATCTCTGGCTGTGGCTCTCAGACTGCTTTCTGATTCCATTTACCTCCTCCCTCCGTACCTCCTGTAAGAACTAAATCCAGTTCTTCCTAGTGGTTCATGCCAAAGACAGCAAATAAATGCACTGGCCACCGGCACATAGTCTTTTACCAAACACCCACCGAGGGGAAGCCCCTTTCGCTTTGCGCCTCACCCAGCTCCCAGCCGTCGGCTCAGAGGAGTGGGTGGAGGCCAGGCTGGAAGCCGATGACGCACGGGCGAGCTCTGGCTAATGGGAACCATGCCCTCCTCGGACTCTATAAAGGGGGTGGACGCAGCAAGCTGGCTGTGACAGATAAGGAACACTTCTCGGACACAGACGGGCGCGCACACAAACACACAAGCCTCGCACTGACGCCAGTACAAGCATTCAAACCCTGGGAACCCTAAGCGTGCGGAAAATCCCCCAGGCAAGTTCGGTGGCTGCGCTCCCAGTAGCTGGCTATGGAAGGCGTCCCAACTTCCCCTAGAGCGGAACGACGGCCGCAGCGGGCTCCAGCCCCTCTCCTGCCCTCCAGGCAGATGGAGAAGGCTGGCAGTGCTCGCACACCAGCGGAGAGGCGGCGAGGCGCCCAGTGCAACGGGTATGCTGCGAAGGAGCAACCCCGGCCAGAGCGGAGTGAGCCAGAGGAAAAGCCCCGGGGCCAGGAGGAAAAGAGAGCCCAGCAGATGGACTATTGGAAGACGGAGCGGACTCGCAGCGTGGAGGATAACGAGCTGAACCTGCCGAGCCTGGCGGGCGCTTACTCCACCATCCTGCGCTCCCTGGGTGAAGACCCCGAGCGGCAGGGGCTGCTCAAGACCCCCTGGAGGGCGGCAACGGCCATGCAGTTCTTCACTAAGGGCTATCAGGAGACCATTGCAGGTCAGTGCGATTCTGCCAGTCTGACTCACTCATACCCGGGGCGAATCGACAGGTAAACGTCTCCCAGTTGGGGCACCGAAAAGTTTACTGAGTTACTCTCCTTCCTTTACGCAGACACACACCTGCCTTTTTCAAGCCCAAACTTGCCCAGTGAATCATGTTTCTCTAGGTTCTCGATTGTCGCGGGGCTGGTTACGCACTGAAACGGGGAAACAGAGGGGCTATCTAGGGAGAGTCCTGTGTTTTGATGAAGAGAGGAAGTGTAGCGCAATGGGCAAAGACTGAATTTAGAATCAGAAGGTTTCGAAACCCAATTCTTCCAGTAGTGTGACCTTGGGCACTTTAACTTCCCTGAGCTTCGGTTTCATTCTCTGTAAATTGAGGGGAATGTAATGATTAGTGACATCTACGGTGCTTTTCAATGCTAAAACTCTATTATCTTAAATCGTGTCCTTTTGTCCTTTACTCAGAGTACTTCCAGGGACCCTACCCTATTGGACATGGACAATCTTTGGCTCGATGAACTTTGAGGTGCATGGGGTCCTTACCTCATTCAATTACCAGTCTTGGCCCATGGCCTGTTGCCCTCTTTTGCTTTTTTTGGGATCTGTCTCAAGTGTTAATGGCATTTGTTGAAAAGGCCATCCAGTTCAGTTAAGGAGGAACTGTGGTTTACCATCAGGAGCTATAAGTTATCTTGGCAACTAGGGAGCAGGTAACTTTGCTGTGGTGTCTACATATTTGCAAATGCAGATCAGGCCTACTGAAACCCAGAAATTTTACCAGACTTTTCAGCCACAAATTAAATATCCCGAGATTCGTTAACTCCCCACCTAACCTTCCTTCACCACTTTCTTTTGCCCCGACACAGAAACCCTAGATTGCCCCATCTTAGGTAGGAATCTGGGATAGTGACAGGATGTATGGACATACACAAACCTATGAGATCTTTTAAAATCACTGCAAATAATCATCTAACTCCTGGTAGGTGGTCAGTTGATCAATAAGCATATTATTTATTATAACTAGAGGTTTCAAGAGACAATGGTAGAGACTTATCTGAAGTAAATAATGTTTGAAAAGAGCAGTTTGCTATTTCTTACCATCTCCTGTGCACATTATGGAAGAACAATCATAATTGGCAGGAAAAAAAGGAGACTTTTTTTGTGAGAAAAAAACCGTTAGAGCAGATTTCAGGGCTGTTGATTTTTGCATAGGAAGCTCTTGAAAGTCTGAGACTTCGTGTGTCTAACAAGCCTTATCTACATGTCTTCTTTTCCCTCTAATGGGTTGCTGATTCTTGGAGTACCTTCACTTCCCCATTTGTTCTTTTTTTAAACTCTGAAGCAATATTGATGGAGTTCATCAAGAAGGGACTTTAGGAAATGACAACATTCTACTGATTTGCCAAATTTCTCCACACCCAAAAGGAAATGGTAGACCAAAACCGGAAATACTACTACTTCCCAAAGAAATTGCTAATTTTGATTGTGTTTCAAGCACAACTTTCCTTGCCCTACTTTAGTGTCTGATTCCCTCTTCCTCCCCCAAAGGGAAATTGGGAGCTGCAAAATGCAGAGATGCAAGGAAGAATTGTTTGTGACAATTGTAGCTCAATGTGGTCTCTATTCACAGGGAATATTTAAATTATTTAAATTGAAAAGGGAGATGTATCACACATAGTAAATTGAGAGCTAGCCTCAGAATCTGGAATACCTGGATTCCAGTCTCTGACACATGCTTGCTGTGTTACCTTAAGCAAATCATTTAGCTTTATGTCACTGGAGATAATTCTCTAAGACCATAAATTGCCCAGCAGTTACTGATTTCCATTGATAGAATTTCTTTATCTGCAAATTCCCTACACTAATTAAATGGTCTGTGTGTATGTGATTTCAATCCTATCCTTTAATGAAGTGGTTTTCTTTGAAGACCTTGTGGCTAGTTTTTTCTGTTTCGGTTTTTCAGTGGGAGAAAAAAAAATATGACATGGTGGCAAAATTTGATGCTAATCAAGGGGATGAGAATGGAAATGTCACAGAGGAAGGGAGGAAAGAGGATTAGCATAGACTTGGAGCTAAAAAACAAACACAAACAAACAAATTTGAGGCCCTTCCTGAAGAATAGGGAACTGGATGGTCTGAGCAAGCATCAGCTTTTCTTCTAAGAAATGATATGGTAGAGCTCTCAGAGCTAGCAGGTGAGATCTCATCCAATAAGCATTAGAGGAAGCGGCAAAGAGTAGAAGTGATTGGTGATTCCCTACTGGGGGGTATTGAAGTAGATGTTAGCAAGAGTAGAAAGATCTTTTGACTTTATGGAGGATTTATCCTAGCCATAAGAAAACTTTTCATGACATCAAAAAGGTTGACTGTCACTTCTTTTGACTGATGGGGGTGCAAACAATACTGCCAAAATGAACCTTAAAACCACTGGAAAATATTTATGAAATCTCCAGTAATAAACCGAAGACCATAAGGCATATGTTATTTTTTCCTCAGTACTACTTATCAAATGGAAAGGATGCAAAAGAGAAAAAAAATGAACATCTTTCCAAGAAAGTGGTATCTGAGAATGGGATTTTGAATTCTGGAATATGGCTTAAAATAGAGAGATGACAGACTTGTGAGTAGGAGGGAGTACACCTGAGGGCTGTTAAGAATGCATTGGCTGGTAAATTAAAACAATTCTAAGGTTCCAGTTTGAGCCCATCCAATTGATAAAGGTGACAAAAAAGTAAAATTTACAAATGTGGGAGGGGTGATGGGAAAACAGGCACATGATTGCACTGTTGGTGGAGTTATGACTTGGTCTGACCATTCTGGAAGGCAATTTGGAACTGTAACACCAAATTTTTAAACTGTGCATACCCTTTGACCCAACAAGGCCAAAGTGATTGACCCAGTACTCCAGAGTAATCAAAGAAAGAGGAAAAGGACCCATATATACAAAAATATTTATAGCATTTCTTTTTCTGGTGGCAAAGAACTAGAAACTAAGGAGGTACCTATCAATTGGGGAATGGTGAACAAATTATGGTATATGAATATAATGGTTATGGAGTGTAATATAAGGGAATATTATTGTATCATAGGAAATAATGAAAGGGATGATTTCAGAAAAAACCAGGAAGGCTTGTGTGGTGAACTGATACAGAATGAGGGAGGAGAAAATTTACAACAATAACATTATAATGACAAAAAACTTTGAAAGATTTAAGAGCTCTGATCAATAAAGTGACTGATCTTGATTCCAGAGGTCCATTTATGAATTATGGTACCTACCTCCTGAAAGAGGTGTGATGGACTCAGGATGCAGAATTAGACATATATTTTTGGGCCTGGTGTATATGTCATCAAGATTTTCTTTTTCTTTTATTTTTAAGTGGAGGCAAGGAGGAGGGAAGAAAAAAATAGGTTTTTATCCTTTAAAACAATTAAATTTAAAAAATAAAAAATGTTTTTAGGAGTTTTGTAAATCTAATCAAAAGGGATCATGAAATCATTGATTTAGAGCTACAAGGGACCTCAGAGGCCATATAGTCCAACCGGTCTATCTTTTACAGGTAAGAAAACTGAGACCTTAAGTGACTACCCAACTTTACTTAGGTATTTAAGTGTCAGAAGTGGAATTGAACAAGTCCTTTGCCTCCAGAATTCTTCCCATCTTGTAGCAGGATGGGAAACAGAAATTGGGCAATGTATATCCTCCAAGCTAGAGAACATGGAGAGTAACTACAATGAAGAAGGCAGAATAGCAGCTGAATGTAAACTCCTTAAAGTAGGGATAGTTTCATTCTTTGTTTGACATGGATTATGGCTTTGGCATCAGTGTACCTTATTCAAAAGAAGCACGGTAAGTATAAGGCTATGTGTAGGTGTGGTGGGTTTGGAAATCCAGGAACTGAAGGAACATTTGCATGAAGACAGAAACAATTTTGTCATTGGTGTACACTGTAGACCCTCTGGACAGAAAAAGACATTAGATCTGTTCATTATCAGCTTGGTAAGTGGTCTCAAGAGGAGCCAGAATTCTGTAATTGATACTTTACTATTTACATTTTTTAAAAATTCAGAACCTAACAAACCCCAGATAGAATGAGTATTTTCATATTGTGTTGTTGTTTATCGTGTCCTACTCTTCATGACCCCATTTGGGATTTTCTTGGCAATACTAGAGTGGTTTGCCGTTTTCTTCTCCAGCTCATTTTACAGATGACGAAATTGAGGCAAATAGAGTTAAGTGACTTGCCCAGGATCACACAGCTAGTAAGTGTCTGAGGCCAGATTTGAACTTGGGTCTTCCTGACTTTAGGTGCACGCTCTATCCACTGCACCACCTAGCTCTATTATGTACAACTTGCTTTTCTTTTAAAGTAAATAAGTTCAATCTGTAGTTTTAACAACTCTCTTGCTTGTGTATACTTCTTTCTGGCCTTCCTTTTTTTTTTCTGCATTCAAAAAAAAAAGAAAGATGCCTCACTGACCCAACTTCTTTCTTTCTTTCTTTCTTTCTTTCTTTCTTTCTTTCTTTCTTTCTTTCTTTCTTTCTTTCTTTCTTTCTTTCTTTCTTTCTTTCTTTCTTTCTTTCTTTCTTTCTTTCTTTCTTGTCTCTCTCTTTCTTTCTTTCCTTTCTTTCTTTATTTTTTTGCCTGCCTTCCTTCCTTCTTTACTCTATCTCCCCTTACCTATCCATTCCACTGCCCCACCCTCCTCTTCCATTGGACAAAAGAAAGAGGAAAAACAAACCCTGGAACAAATATACATAGCCAAGTGAAACAAAGTCCCATGTTGACAGTGTCTGAAAATGAATGTCTTATCCTGCATCTTGAGTCTATCACCTCTTTGTGAAGAGGTGGTTAAGTCGTTTTATCATCACTCTTCCAAAATCATAATTATTGAAATGATTAGAGTTCTTATGCCTTTTACTGTTCTGCTCACTTCATTCTGCATCAGTTCATAGAGGTCTTCCCAGGTTTCTCTGAAACCATCCATTTAATT